CCCAGTGGTGATATCCTACAAAGTTCAGAGGTAGTTACTCTCTTTTCTGCACTTTTTTTTTTAAATTATAATTAATATATTAATTCACTCGCACAAAGCAATACATGGCCTTCCAAACACCTCCCATCAAAGCAAGGGAAAGAAATGAACCAGCTGAAGAGTGTTGATCTGAAATGTCAGTTCTTGTACATGACTGTACAACTGTATCCATATGGCTTTTATTTGTCAACACTACCAGAGAAAAATCAAGACTCAGTGGAAAAGCTAATTCACATATCATACATTCAGCAGCAAACCCTGGATCACAAATGTGGTATGTTACTCCTCCCCAAGGACTTCTTTCATTGATAACCTTGGTCTTCCATTTGGAATAAATGGCCTGAAATACACACACAAGTAGACTTGCCAGTGACAGGCAACATTTAAGACACAAAGTCAAAAGAGACAGACCGCCCCAAAAACTCAAGAGTGACAGAACAGAATTAATTCAATCACCCACATCTGTATCTAGTTGTTGCATCCTTCAGAAGCACGGGTAGGAGGAATCAGTTGTAGATGTTCTAACACGTCTGGTTGGTTAGAACAACCAAGAACTTGGAAAATGTTTTGTTTAATTCTGTTAAGTAGAGAGAAGTGACCTATTTTTTCTGATACAAATTTAACAGGCCAGTTACTCTACAGATTATCTGTGTGGACAAAAACTACTTACCCAGAGGACATCTGAAAAGGCATTTCAGACAAAAGAAGCCCTAGTGTCAAATATTTTAGTCATTAAAACATAGAACAGCTGCATGCTCTCTGTGAGGTAGTGTCTGCAGCAAGAACCCAAGTTTCAAAATGGGTGTGTCAGTGCACTTCATTTTTGACAATTATGATTTACAAAGACCGTATAAAAATAAATCATAGTACCAACAAGAGCAGCATTAATGTCTATTAGAATAATCTTCAGAATTGTTGTAAATACCTAAACCTAAATCCCTTATACATTGTATCTATCTCCCCCCCTTCAGAAGCTTCACTACTGAAACAAAGAAGTTACTTTTCCAGTTGCTAGGACAGGGGAAGATTATTGTCACCTCTGAAAATACATTTCTGTACAGATTTCTCAACAGTTTTAACAGTTCCAGACTTAGTAAAGAGATGGCTCTGAGTACACCTATAAAAGATGCAGCGTATCATGTCTCCCCACCACAAGAGTCAGCACAGCCTTAAAATTACTGCCTAATGGGGTAGTAGAAGTCTGCAAGCTACCCCTGCAGCTAAATACAACTAATACCAAAATACAACTCTAATACCCTTTTGTACCTTTGTTGATAGACATGCACCTGTCTCTCTGCTGATGTAGTGGAGTGCAGAAAGCCATTCATTTCACATTCTAGTACAAAGGCTCTTTTCTCAGTGCAACTTCAGCTGATTGAAAAGAGGACAGATGAAAGAGCAGAGCAGGCAGTTCACTAACTGCTCCAAGGCCCTGTTTTCAGTGTGTCAGATTACCTCCTCAGGTGTGGTTAGGTTCCAAATACAGACAAGGGCTAGCTGTAAGATCCTACACACACTTGGAAAACAGAAAATATATCAGCAGCTTGTTGCATGCAACACAGACATTTTGAAAACAGTGGATAAATACAGATTGTGAAAATGAGGTGTCAGTACCTAAAAACACCAGTACGACCCCAGGATTATCATAAACTCTAAACTTAAGAGCACAGCACTGAAGAAAATAAACTGTGCATCAAATCTACTTCCCTGAGTTTTAAGGCAACAACGGCACAGGAATTTTACCAACACTTTCCATGGAGCACCTTCTCTAACCAAAACACAGTTGTACAATAGGTGCATCAGAGTTGCTCAAAACCCACTGCCACACTTGCAGACTATAATTAACAGCCAGGATCAGCCATGAATGCAGCACAGGAAGAACTTCAAGAGCAGTACCAATGCAAAACAGCATAGTAACACTGAACTTGTTTGCAATACAGCATCCTTAAAGCACAATGAATGAACAGCTACTGGAGTCCTGTCCAACACTAACAGAACAGAGCCTGGAGGCAAGAAGAAATCCTATTTGCAATGTGACTTTCAAAGTGGTTCCACATACTCTCTAAAATCTAAAAAAGGATAAATCTGTGCTAGCACTCTACAAACACCCCAGGTCTGGGCCAAAAAAGTGCCTGAAGACAAGAAGTTAAACACACCAACTTAATGCTATTTTAAGAGAGTGATACATCTTTCTCACATCAAGCTTTCATGACCCCTTTTACAAGAGAAACTAAGAGCAAGCATTCCCCAGTTTGTTTGCACTAGTCTTCTCTCTCTCTCTCTCAAAAAAAAAAAAAAAACACACACCAACAAACCTACCTAAATAAGTTAGCAAGCATCATAAGAAACAAAGCCCTGATCATGGCTTCTATTCCAAACTTTTCTGTACTTTTCTTTCATAGAGAAAACCTTAAAGACAACTACAGAATATCTGTTAACACTTCTTGGGTCTTCACCAGCTAAGATCTTAGACACTGCTTCAAAAGTCAGACTTTGATCTTGCTACTCAGCTACATTCCGTTTTTAGGAACTAGGGCAGATGATTTTTAGGGAGTGCAGGCAAGGCAGAACATAAAGAATAAGGATGGACTAATCCCCACAGACACACATTAAACTGTGGTTGAGAAGCTACAGGCAAATACAGCACCATTCTGGAATGCTAAATAGGGATTTACAAAAAAAAAAAGGCAGCTTTCACTATATTTCAGAATGCACTCCTATTAGTTGACTATTCTTAGTAAGATATCTCATTTTACTTTGCTCCATTGAGGAACATCAGGAAGAAAAGACACTCCATCAGATATTTAAAGACATGGGCAACAGCCCACTTTTCCAGGAATACATATACTTCTGAATAATAACCAAGAACTGTGTAACAGGATACTCTCCTTCAATAGCACAAAGTTCCATTCTATTTGTGAGCAAAATGCAGTACCACCCACTAAACCTCTGACTCTACATCTGGTTTATCTTGTTCACTCACAATGCCATACTTCCTGTCTGTATCTACAAAACACCAGCTAACACCCACTTTGCATCTCAAACCCCATAAACACTTTCCACGACTGCCCTTCTCAAGTCTCTGAAGTTTGGAAGATACATTCAAACTGAATAAACAAAAGCACCTCAATGTCCACTGGTTCTGATTTTAAGCTTTCATCTAAATCAAAAATTGTCATATGTAAGTGGCAAATATTCTTACGGAATCAAGAAATACAAATAAAGATGTATTTACTTCAGAGTTGTTTTCCAACGACCTAATTAACTCAGTGAATTCTAATACAAAGCAGGCAAATGGGGCTAAACAAGTTCCAGCCTGAGGACAGGATGCAACAACTCATCCATCTCTATGCCTTTTCACCACTGAACGGTCCAAAACCTTTTTCAACTTTGGGTGCATGTGCCCAGAATAGATGAATGCTTCATTTAAATACAGGAAGCATTTGTCATTGTAAGTGCAATTCTTGACCAGGAGTTTAAAGAAGAAAACCAACACAAAAGTCAGTCTTTAAAGTGGTTTTCATCTTTTATCTTCAGTTAACGACTGAAAATACTTATAGTTAAACTAACTGCCTAAATATTCAGAGTGTAATATTTTAGCTTTAGCACTTATGTCCAAGACTACAGTCTACTGTAAGACTATTAAAGTGATGATCTTCAAGCTCACAATTCTATTCCCTCCTATACAGCACTAACATTTTGAAAAGCCTAATCTAAGTTCAAGCTTTCACAAAGCAGTTACTCAATTTCAAAGCTCTGGCAAAATACCATCTCTCTTTAGTATTAGATTACAATTCCTTCATTCTAGCAGAAAACTAACGTAAGACAGAGATAAATGGGCAGGCAGGCAACCATAGCAAACTAGAAAGTTAGCTTGCGCATTGTCTATCCCAGAGAATACATTAAAAGCACACACAAGTAATTGTAACAAGATAAAATAGGACATGAACATGGTATCAAAATTATTCCACCTTTATGGAGCACCTGCACATACCCATAACTACAAAAATATTTAACAGCCAACTTCAGGAGTTCCATCTAGCAACATCACCTGTTTAATAATTGCACATAATTATTATACAGGTAATAAAAGGTTCTCAAGTGTCAGAACCACACATGGCATTTTCCTCAAGCATAGATATGGAAAACTAACAATTAACAGCTTAAATAAACGTTATCTGTTTACAATCTACTGTAGAAATAGCATTAGTATGTCTTCAGGAAGAGTTTTTGATTACAAGCTGAGCAGATGCAGCAAGACACCTTAAATTTCTTCCTTCTTCTTATTAACAATATTATAAAATAAACATTAAAAATGTGTTATTTCTTGGAAAAGGTGGGAGAATAAATGAAAAAACCTACTTATAGTACTGCGAATTTGGAATTGTTCAAGGAATTGATAAAGGCAATTTCAATTTCACACACATGAATAATCCGTAACACACACAAAAAAATAACAGAAGGCATTCAAAATTCATAATTGCTTATACCTCAAGCACTGGAAGAAAACCAGGGCATTTCTTTACAACATTTCCAATTATCCAAAGGGAGAGGTTATACTTTTCAAGTATAAGCCACCACTTATCTTATGAATAAAACCGTAACTATAACTTCATTTTAACTGATGGAATCTAGTACTTCTTCCATGCAATCCATGAGGTGTATCATTTCTGCTCTTCCAGAGAAATGAATTCTATTACTCTGCCTAGCTACGTGATTTATTTCAACTAAAAAATCATGTAGGATACATCAGACAATGACTTTCCAAGGCATTTGTTAAGATGATTCATCTGGCTTTAAAAAAAAAAAAAAAGCCACATCCTTTGCAATGAAGGCTGACCATAAAATAGGTCAATGTGTAATGAAGCATACTTCTGGTTCCCGCTTGCCAAAAAACGCCAAATAATAATTCATGGCAAAAGTACCTCACGGATACCCAAAAGAAAGGCAGAAATTCCTACCTTAACAGGGAAGCTGCACTTGCCAGTACGAACGCCTTCTTCATCGGTCTGCCACTGATGAGGCCTACTGGCCTCCGGCACATAAACATCTTTCTTTCTCCTAAAGCTTTGCCGTAATTTATTCATTTCTCAGATGTTGATGTCCTAGAAGAAGAAGAGAATTATTGCAAATGGGCACCAAACACATTTAGCTGCTTCCAGTTAACTAGCATCACTACAAACATCTGTGTGAAACTCCTGAGCTTCTACAATACGAATAGAGGTCCCTGTGTAAGGGAAATGCTTTGGACAAAGGTTCAGAGAAAGGGGGATAAATATTCAGTTCAAAGCAGAAGACAAATCCACATTACTTAACATCTTTCCACAGCAACTGAAGCATCAGACCCGGAAATAACTGTTACTCTGAGCATAAAATTACCTAAAATAGCTGACAGAGAAGATCTGAAGAGCGATGGACTCAAAATCCTGCCTCCTTGAATTTATACACCTAGAGCAACCACACAAGAAACGAGCAGCATAAGTTTCTAAGGCACTCATACAAGACAAGTATTTGTACCCTTAAAACATCCAATACAATTAACTGCTTGTACTGTTCTTTAAGTATGAATGATAGGCTCACTGAGGGAGATGATGCCAGCTTTTATGCAGTAACCAAGCTAGCACTTCTGTTCAGAAGAGAACTGGAATTCACTGCCCTTAGACTACACAAGACAAAGTGCCAGTTTCTACCAGGAGTGGACTGCTCAACAATCAAGGTACAGAGCTGGGAGCATCAATACCTCTGTCTACAAGCACCATGTGTCTGTGTGTATGTGCTAGGGAAGCCACCAACTCAAGAAACAATGACCCAGAAGCATAACAGTGACAAGTAGGGAGTGGTAGATTGGAGCCCAGGTCTTGAGGGGCATGTTCCAGGCCCAACTTAAGTGGAAGTTCTCATTAAAATAGAAGATACATTTGATGAAAGCATTGAAAATCTCAAAACAATTACCCCTTCCAAAGGAGGAAGGTAGTTCTATAGTTACACTCCCAAAGACGCTCTAAAGATGGTTTTTTTATACACTATACACTTCTATGTCAGTTTTTGTATACACTAAACTTTATAGACATGCTCATTTACTACATTGAAACTACAATTAGCAGGAAAGCTATCCAAGTAACAGCTAATAAATAATAACTAATAAAAAGATTCAGTATTCAGCTACAGAAATAAAATGATATGACATACAATGTCAAAAATAAAGAAAATATGCCAAGAGGCTTTTTGTGATATTACTCTTCTTTGCTGGAGAAAAAACTTCCTTACAAATACCATATCTCATTTTGGTACAACAAAGATGCTGCAGAATGCAAGGCAGCAAAAGCTAATTTGATTATATATGCTCATTTCCCATTACATTAACTAAGCTGCAGAATACAGAAGTTTATGGGTGACAATGGGTAGACTTGAAATGAAGGCAGCTTTAAAATCACTTTGAACACTAATTTTAAACCCTAAAAAGAACTGCAACACTTTCCAGTTAAAACTGCTTGATACAGGTGAGAAAAATCTGCATTCACATTCACAGTATCTGACATTTAAGAAGCTTAAACTCAAGATGAAACAACTTCAAAACTGAACACAAGCCAGAAATGAAAACCATTATAGAAAACCAATGCCTGCTGATCAGCTCAATTAAAGGCAGTCAGTTGTTTACACATCTCATTAAGCACTTAACTATTTCAAGTAACAAAAAGATAGGGGCACGGGTAAAGAACAGCACCGTATCGTTAAAATCAGGACATTTAACTGTGGCAAAATTTATATCTGAAGTTGTGATTAAGTGTGCTGCTTATGTTCAAGAGTTCAGTGACCAATGCTGCCTGGTCCTGCTGCGTTGTGGGACATCGTCCAGCACATGGAAAATTCACCACATATTTCTACATCAGTAAAAAGGCAAAGCAAACTTCAACTTTTGCAGCAACAACGTGTTTAGAGCTGCTTCTCCCACGTAGCCCATGAGACTGGGACACTATCATCCACTTATTCCTACCAGGAACCTCACTCCACAGTGAAGCCTGAGAATAAGAGCTCCTGAACTATATATACTTCCTATGATAAGCTGAAGTGGCATTCTGCCCAAAGTACTTCCTTTTTACTAAAAAACCAAACCCATTTTCCTGCTTGTTCTAATTTTGCAGCCACGCTGGCAACAAGCACTTCAAAAATAGCTTTCCTATTTAATAGAAGTGCTGACAAACGGCAAGATTAACTTCTGGTCAGGTGACCAGTGAGCTTTCTCCAGCCACCACACTCCTATTTCCTGAGACCTCAGAATGTTGAGAGTGGGTTGTGAAATACTTTGCCCCAAAACCAATTCTTTTGCTGGCAGCATGGACGTCATCCCAGTACAGCTGAATTTGTCACTGATGCAAAAGCATTAAGTCACACAATTCACACAGGATGCACATTTAAGGATCCAGGAGAGAAGCACATGAATTGTTGCATTTGGATGCTGAAATCCTCACTAAATATTTCTGGAGCTCAAAGTCATTGCCCAGGATTTGCAGAAAACACCCAAATGAGCATTGTTTACTTCAGTTCTCTGCAGTGCACTCCATATTTTCAGAGAAATACAGCATGTCTGTGGGGGCAACGACAGATGCCAACGAAGCTGCAGTAAGCTAGCGGGGTATTTTCTGCTGAAGTGACAGCACTACTGACACTAAGTAGTATAGTATTCTGTCTCTGGATTACAAAGGCTGGAAAAAATCAGTGACAGAATTTGCAGGTTCAGAAATTCATTTTTGTCCTATTATTAAAAATACTTTAAAAATCCACAAGATACAATAAACAAAAACACTATGTTAAAAAACAACTTATTTCCTTTCCCTGTGTACAACCCAACATCCAGTTGGATCAAGAGAAAGGACAATGGATAAATAGAAACCGAAGACAAATCTGGCCAAAAAACAAGATGAGAAACTCAAAATCTATTTAAAATAAGAAGTAGTGCCTTACAGGAGTCTAACAAATCATGGCTGAAGACAGTGAAGTTCTGGAGAGATGAAGACACAGACCCACTTTGGTTTGAAGGCTGCCTTTACCAGAGGACTCGCTGTAGGCTGCCCAGCATTTGAATGGGCACAACCCTTATAAAACAACTTCCACCACTTATGCTATATAAGAGATTACAATGTGGGGCTAAACATTAGACCAATTCCCAAAGCACCATACAAGTATCTATACAGGCATGGAAAAATATATACATTCACACCCTTAGTTTTACATTTGTTGACAATTACTTCTAATTCAAATTGCTATATACTTAACATTCTGAAAACACAGCTAAAAAAGCTATTTTCTGTAGTAATAACAATTTGAGGAGAGCTTTGGCACTGCTGTACTTTCCACCAGCACCTGCAAAGGTCTAATTCCAGCCCAACTCAGTTCACTGACAACTAAGGCAGCACAGAGATGGAAACACTGAAAAAAGTGCATGATGAAGCATTCTTGGCTTCATGGCCTTGCGTACCACCAGGTAATGGCTACAGAACAAATTACTGCACGACAGACATGTTTATTCATGCCTTATTAGCTACTCCGCTTTACCAATGCATTTACTTTTATCCTTCAAGAACTGCAAGCCAATAATTTACTCTTCAGTGCAAGACGAGTACACTTGCACATTAACTGAAGCTGGATCACATGCAAGTTGCTGATGATGCAAATTGGAGCTTGGCTGGTGGTGTACAAGTTAACTCATGGAGCCATGCCTTCCGATAAGCACTTCATTTACATTCTGCATAAATGTTTCCCTGAGAGCAGTTACTGCTACAAGCTAATTCAAAGTACAGCATCCGCAGGCAAAACAACAATTCAGTACTGGTACCTGAGCTGCATTCACAAGATTAAATGGTTAGATTTTAGGGTAGTGACACTACCTAGTAAGATTTTCACACTTGAAGCAACCACTCAGTTTCAACACTGAGGAAAACAAAACCAATAGAAATCCATTTAATGTTCTTCTTAGCTCCAGCCTTAAGATTTTTTTAATCTGCACTTGTTAGATTGTGACTTTTGTTTGTGGTGGAATGGGATAAAAAACTGAGTTTAAGCAATTCCTCAGTTGAGCCAGGTGTGTTTGAAACCAAGCGGTTTGGGACCACTTGCTGTGTGCTCTGAGAATCAAGTACTGTTCTCTCTTTACTTTATCAAATAAAAAAAAGTCACAGGTCAAATAAGGGCAAAGCATTCCTGACAGTTTGCAACAAACAGAGTAGTCAAGGTTTGGGAGATATCAGCCCTGCAGTCTTCCTGCAAGCACAAAGCATGACAAGCAGACTGCATCTGCACATTTATAGAATTCCTGGATGTATACATTCCAAATAACAGAGAAAACTGGGCTTAAGAGCAATGCATTTAGCTATCTTCCTAATGTTAAAAATAACTCATCGAGCTTCCTTATAAAATGAACTCAATAAATATGTTATAATCAGACTATTAAGAAAAATGCCATGCAGCTGAGCAAGGAGGAGCTGCACAACTATCAGCCCCTATGGGCTTTTTCCCAGTGAAACACATCCACCATTGCTAATACACAGGACCAAAACAAACAGAGCTCCAAATCCAGATCAACAGGTTCACTGTCTTTAATACATTTTTTGTTTTCATATCAAAGTTTGTGAATAAGAATGTTCCAGATTTACTTGATATTTTAGACCTAAGAGAACATGTACATTACCTTGATATCATAAAAGAAAATATGCTCGCTCAATTTATTTATTAGAGCAACACATCAGAAACACTCCTCAACATGGCTGTAAAAATTTGGATACTTAGAAAACTGTGGTTTTGTGCTTTCATGAAAGTGCATCCTAGTCACACCTGTCCTAAAACTCATATCTAACAGCTACCTTTTAGCATTACGTAATCATGAATTTTATTATATGAAATTCATAGGAGTCCACCTACACAAGAAGTACAAATAGCCCTAACTTTCGCATTTCAAAATAACATCCTGCACTGCTTCTTCCTGCAAAGTTCAGTAAGTTGTTGATACTTTAACCTTATTGGAAACCTTGGTTAGAACCAGGACGTGATGACATCAATGAGGAAATGTACTTATTTCAAGTCTTGTGACAAGACTTAGTTTTGGCAGGCG